GGTATTTAGGTCCTCTAATTATATGGCCGAAGTATTCTGTTTTTCTCCTCTTTATGGTGTTTATGAGCAGACGTTCTGAATTGATCATTTGAAAAACATCTTCATTGGAAGTGTGCGAAACCCACGATATCTTTAGGATTCGTCTATAGCACCTCATTTTGAATGCTTCTAACTTGTTTAGCATTGTGGTTTTTAACGTCCATGTCTCACAACCATACAATAGGATCGACCACACATAACATTTCAGGACCTTCTTACGAATATTCATTGACAGGTTTCTGTTGCATAAAACTGGTTTCCAGGTCATAAAAGCCTTACGTGATATTTCGATCCTGGATATTATCTCTTCATCAGAGTCACAATTTACATTTAACCAGCTGCCAAGGTATTTGAAATGATTTACCCTTTCTATCTCTTCTCCATTAAGAGAAAGCAGACCTTGATCTATATGGATCTTTCCAACTGCCATCCACTTTGTCTTTGAAATGTTGATTTTTAGGCCTCTCCGATAACTTGCTTCACTGACTAGATTTAGTAATGTTTGGAGATCTTGTAAACTTTCTGCAAGAATGGCTGTATCGTCAGCGTATCTAATATTGTTGATTACTTCTCCACCTAGTCTTACTCCCTCTTGTCTGTCATCCAAAGCCTCCTAAAGATTTCTTCAGAGTACACATTAAAAAGAGTGGGTGACAAAACACAACCCTGCCGTACTCCACGTTTGATGGGTATTTTTTCTGTGGGACTGTCTCCAATTTGGATAGAGGCTACTTGATTGTAATATAAGTATTTCAGCAGTCTTATATCATAGTGGTCAAGTCCTGCTGCCCGTAGGCAGTCGAAAAGTGTATTGTGTTGGACTCTGTCGAACGATTTCTCAAAGTCGATGAAACAAACATAAACATTCTTTCGGAATTCACAACTTTTTGTAATAGAACGCGCATACAGAATAGTGCCTCTCTAGTTCCTACACCGTTTCTAAATCTAAATTGCTTATCACCCATCTTACTTTCGCATAGAAGGAATACTCGGTTTTGTATAATTCGTAAGAGTATCTTCAGTGTGTGACTCATCAAACTGATTAGTCTAAAATCACTGCATTTGGTGGGCCTGCTTTTCTTTGGTAATGTTATAAACAGTGACTCTAACCAATCATCTGGTATTTTTCCTTCGTTGTAAATTTTGTTGAAGAAAGTGGTTAAGCAGGCAATGCTTTCCTCATCCAAAAGTTTAAGTAGTTCGGCAGAGATTTGATCTGGTCCAGGTGCTTTATTGTTTTTAGCTTGCTGTCTTGCCTTTTCGACTTCCGAATTCAGTATATTGGGACCTCTGTCCAACTGGTTGTCACAGGCAGTATTTGGAGCATTTTCTCTAGAAGCATCGTCAAAAAAGTCAGATGATGTATCTCTCCCATTCTTTGCACTGTTGTTCGTGATCACAACATTTTTCTGTCCGCGCTTTTAAGTATGTGAGCATTTTTCTGTTTTCTAATTCCGGCAGTATATTTAAGTTTCTTATGCAGGTTGAAGCTGTCATGGTTTTTTTGGAGGTCTTCTATTTCTTTACTTAAATTCTCAAGCCAGGATTCTTTGGCTTGCTTAATTTTTTTTTTTATGCGTTTATTAATTTTACGGTATTCGATAATATTTCTATTTTTGTGTTGCCGTCGAACTTCCATCAGATCTAGAATTTCTTGTGTCATCCACTCATTTTTTGCCAACATGGTAGGTGTTTTCAAAGACTCTTGTACGTTCTCTAAAATCGCAGTTTTTGAATGGCATACCAGCATTTGTTAATGGTTCTGTTTTCGTTTGGTATATTTGATATTCTGTGTATTTTACTATTTATCTGCTGTGATATGTGTTCGCACGTTTGGGGTTTTTTCAGGGGGTCGAGATATATCTTATAAGGCCTAGTTGGCTTTGTTAATTTCTTCAATTTAATTTGTATTTTGGATCAGAGTAAATTGTGATTTGAGTTTATGTCAGCGCCGGGGTAAGTTTTTACATCTTTAATATTGTTTCGAAATCGGTGGTTTATTAGGATGTAGTCTATTTGATTCCGTACTATTCTACCTTGATGTCCATCTTGAGGGGATTTCCACGTGTAAAGACGCCTTTCTGGAAGTTGAAACCAGGTATTTGTAATGGCGAAGTCATTTTCTTGGCAGAATTCTATTAGCCGTTCACCTCTTTGATTTCTCTCTCCCAAGCCAAACTTTCCGGTGATGCCCTGCGTCATCTTCTGATCTGATGCTCATTTAGCATTACCCAGGAGCACCCTAAGTAATGCTAAATGAGCTAGCGCGCTAGTTGTCGACTAGTCTATCTCTTAAAGATCTAGTCATCGATATACATGGAAACAGTTACAAAAGCTAGTTCTTCTCAGAACTATATGACAAGAAGCATTGGTCCAATCCTCCGAACATGCCAACTAAATATAGGGGCACTTAGTAGATCAAAGTGTGAAGTACTATCTAAAATCCTGCTAGAAAATAACACTGACGTGGCTACCATTCAAGAAACTCATGTAGGTGATGAAATTGATCTAAAACGTAGGAGCAAAGTACCAGGATATGAAATTCTTGGTGTAACAATCACCATATATACAGATGTATAACATACATCCGCAGCAACATCAGAATGCACATCTAGTGGACGGTAGTACCAATGGAAAGATTCAAATCATTACAGTAAAAATCGAAGAACTTACAATTGCTAATATATACAAGCCCCCAGAAACCCAGTAGCCTCCAGAAGTTTTGCCTCATCTTTGCCATCCGGCAGTTTATATAAAAGATTTTTATAGCCACCATACGATTTGGAAATATCACAGCAATGACCATAATGGCGAAGAACTTCTGGCGTGGGCAGAAGAAAACAACCTTAGTCTAATATTTAATGCAAAAGAAAGGGGAACATTTAGGTCCGCAGCGTGGAGAAAGGAATACAACCCAGACCTCTATTTCTCAACCCAAAACCCTTAAAATCAACCTGTAAATATAACAAGAAAAGTCCTGAAGAATTTCTCACACAGCCAACATCGCCCAATAATATATGAAGTAGGTATTCAGGTCCCGATAGTCCGATCCACTCCCAGACCAAGATGGAATTTTCAGAAGACAGACTGGCAAAAATTCTCTATCGAACTTGATAAAGTTATAAGATGGGTTCCAGCCACACCGGAAAGCTACGATAGATTTGTAGGTTCAGTGATATCAACTGCAAAAAAGTGTATACCAAGAGGTTACCGCAAAGAGTACATCCCAGGCTGGAATAATGAATGTGAAGAACTCTATAATGACTATATAGAGAATGGTAAGAAAATGGACTTTAAGAGATCGAGCAGACAATCTTGGAACCTACTTAGAAAGCTAGGGGAAGTGCCCGCCCGTTAGAAAATCCCCTTTTTGTCCCCCGACCAAATAGCTAGCAGAATAGTGACCCTAGGATTCCACGTGACAAAGGACATACAAAATATATAAAAAACAAGGAACTCAACAACTCACGCCAAACAGCTGGATATAACCCAAGGTTCTCCCACGAATTCACCAACGAAGAAATAACATCAGCCCTCCGAGACATGAAAACTGGAAATGGCTTACATAGATATTTATCTTAGTTTCAGATTCTCATCAGCATCCACTTCAGTCCTTAATTGCTCTTTCTTCACATCAGTGAAACTGTTGCTGTAATAAATTTTTATCATCATCCACTTTATCTTTTATAAAATTGCTGGATAACTGCTGACCTCTATGTCATATTTAGATAATCTTACCGTAATCCTTTGTAATCTCGGCGACATTATGTCCGCAATTCCTTTATGCATTATTGCCTCTAAAGGCTAATGGTCAGAATCAATTTGCACTTTTCTTCCGTAGATAAAACTGTGAAATTTATTGCATACATATAAGATCCTTTTCTATTTGACTCATTAAACGACTCTTCCGTCGTTAGAGCCCTAGCTGCAAATGCTACCGCTCTATTATTCTGTTAGTCTGTATCACGGTTGGTAATTTCTCACTGAATTTGCCAAGCCCTGGCTACTCAACATGATTACTTTTTTTATTTTATTTAGTGCATTGGCGTGGAAATCTCTGTCAAATTTGAAATGAATGCTCTTAAATGATTTTTCAGAATTCGTTGTATTTTCCGGATCATTCAATCTCCTTATAACTTCTACTTTTTTGTTGTCATCTCTTATTCTAGTCTCGATTGCAAAACACCTCTAGAGTGACTTTGTGGACAAATACAGTTGTTTAAATAATCACTTTCCGGGATAAACAAATTGAATAACTTTTAAACTATTTAGTCGATCTGTTTGAAATTTAACACACTTTAATAACTTATTAACTGTCATAATATTGAGTAGTTACATTACATGGCATTATGAAAAATACAAAGTTATTAAAATTTACAAATTACTGCAAAAATAACGGTTTTTGCAATTTTCTCGGTTAATTGTTTATTTATTTTAATTTGGAAACTATCAAAACTAAACAACTTTTCATCTATATCTTTTATTTAAACCAATTTTTTTTTCTAAAATGTGTAAGAAACATTTTATATGCAAAAAATATTTTTTTATCTTGTAAGATTGTTTAAATAAAATCAAAGTAAAATTAGCTGTAGGTCTTAACGGATTTTTCATCAGCTCTCCCTCGTATACCTTTTAAAATCTTCAAATATCTCTAGAAGATTTTTATGTGAAATCAATGACTTTTTTACAGACAGACTTGACATTTCTAATACGTATTGACATCCTTTGGTCTCATTTTGGTATCTTTGGTATTAGTAAGGCTACATCTTCTTTAGCCCTGTTTTCTTGTACTACTCGACTGTCGATTAGTATGCATTCACCTAATTTTGATTGTCTTTTTCTTTTATATTTTGTTTTCTGTGGAGTCTATATGTATATTTGTTTCTCTTTTAACACTGTAGTGTGCTGTACAAATTGTAGTGCAAATAGTTTTAGATGCATCTTTACAAATAACAAATAACTAGACTTAAAACAAATTCAATTTTATTTTTGCCTTAATATAAATATAAATCTCACTTTCTGTTTATAAAAAAAATAATACAAGTCAAATACAGAAACTTAACAGATCACTAATCAATTAATTTTTGATAATTCTGACTGGAAGTTTCCAAAAACTGTCTGAGCATGGCTATTCCAGTTTCTTCCACCATCTTTCTGAATACTCCAAATTTGTTCTGTAATAATAAGTACGGATGATCGAACTCGACAACTTCTCCTGCTTCAAGCACCAATATTCGATCATTGTCGATGATTGTGTTCAACCGATGAGCAACTGTTAAAACTGTACAATCTGCGAACTTTTCTCTAATGGTTCTTTGGATTAGAGCATCAGTTCTATAACAAGAGAAGGGAATATTAAATAATAAGTACTATTATTCAAGTGGTAATCATACATATAAATATATATATATTATATATATATATATATATATATATATATATATATATATATATTATATATATATATATATGTTCGGAAAGAGATTTCCGCGGTTAGTACAATAAAACCTAGAGCTAAGATTAATATTATTACTAAAATTAATATCAATACTCACCAGTCTTCCGGGTTGAACCGCGTCGATGTCCATTTTGCCAAGCTTTAGTAGTGACAGTGCCGTGAATAGTGAACAGTGTAGTAGTGTCTGGGGGCTCGAGAGACTGAGACCTCGGAAGCCCTGAGGAAGGCATTAGAGAGGATGCCGAAAGCTTGGCAAAATGGATATCGACGCGGTTCAACCCGGAAGACTGGTGAGTTTGATATTAATTTTAGTAATAATATTAATCTTAGCTCTAGGTTTTATATATATATATATATATATAATATATATATATATATATATATATATCGGAAAAGGAGTACGACCGTCAATCCAATATAAACTAAGGATCACTCAAACGAGTGGTGGGTTCTTTTATCGGGAAAAGATGGAGAAAAAAGACAAAGTTGATGGCTACGTTATCTATTTATTGAAGACGTTTCGCGAAGCTCCAATTATTTGAGCTTCTTTTCATTTTTAATATCTTTGACTGCTACATATCTTTTTAAGGTAAATAAATTATAAGGCTATAAAAACAACTAGGATTGAAGCAGAAAACAAAAATTAACGTGTATAGGAATCAATTCGATCAACTGAAATAAAACCTGACAAAAGAAAACTATAAAACAAGAAATTATTAACATAGCAACAAATGAAATGGACTTACAAAACGGAAACAGTCAAATGAGAACAAACCAGAGAAGTAGAACAGAAGAAATAAGCAAGAAATAAAACAATAAACAAAATCAACAATAAATAAGGAAGAAAGAACAAGAATAGCGTAAATCAGATCAATATAAAGCAAAAGCTATTTTTTATCATTATCAAATGATTTTGCAAGAATTTTATGAGTATCCTTAAAATGAATCTTTAATATTTGAATGTAGTATTTGTTTGATGTTAGATGTTAGTACCTTGTTTTACAACCTTTTACAAATACTTCGTTACTTACAATTCTCTAAAATTAAATACAATAATATTTTTTTCCAAAACATTAAATATCTTTTTAATAAAATATAATAGTTTTTAAAACATAATATTACCCTATTTCGAATTATAAAATTAATTTAGAAAATATTCTGAATAATGAACTTACTGTGGGTCCACGTTTGCAGTAGCTTCATCCAAGACCAAAATCTTATTATTTCTTATAATAGCCCTAGCCAAACATATTAACTGCCTTTGCCCAACGCTGTAGTTTGATCCTCTATCCATGACTCTGTTCTCCAAACGATTAATAATGTTATTCGGATCCTTTAGTTCAACTTCGTTTAAGGCTCTATACAACGTTTCATCGCTGTATTCATCGAACGGGTCTAAATTATATCTCAAGGTGCCGGAGAACAAGATTGGATCTTGGGGTATGATTGAAACTTTAGACCGAAGCTGTTTAAGTGTTATGTCTTTGGTGTTAATGTCATCAATGTAAATTTTACCTTCTAGAGGAGTCAATCGGAATATGGCTGATATTAGTGAGGATTTTCCTGCTCCTGTTCTGCCCACAATACCAATCTATAAAAAAAAATAAAAATAATTTATCAACCACAGATAGTTATACTTCCTTAGAGGCTAACGAGCTATTCCAAATAGATTGCAAATTACCTTAATTAATAATATTTATATAATTGCACCTAATTTAAATTAAAACTAATAAACAGATCACTCAAAAATATGTAAATATTTATAATTGTAGTATATATTAGAGTTTACCTTTTCTTTTGGATTAATCTTAACACTGACATCTTTTAGAATAGTGGGACCGTCCTCGATGTATTTCATATTTAGATGTTCTATACTAACAATTCCTTTATCGGGCCAACTTTTTGAAGGTAATAGTGGTTTTTCTGGTTGCTGTTCTGGTATCAATTCTTTGTATTCTAGAATTCTTTCTACTGACATAAGTTGATTGGAGATATCGGCAGAGAAACGAACCAGAAATTGGATGTTTTGAGTAAGCGCCGAAGCTTGATTAATAGCTAGACCAACGTCACCACCGGTTAAGTTAAAATCTAAAAAAAAATTATTTATTAGAATGTAGGAATGAAATGTTAATTTGTATTATAATTTGAACAATGCAGCATCGAAATTGCAAATTTGCAAATAAGGAATAACAAACTTGGCTCCAAGATACAGATTGAACCAAATTAAAACGGAACATACAATTTAATACATGGCTGTTTGAACTTCATTTGAAATAGTGGACCAATATAAAACTTGGACAAAAATAAATCCATACCTGGGTATAGACATTGTATAAAATATCGTTCAACTATCTGTCTCGTAACAATGTTGTTTGCGTAAGACAGGTTTGTCTAAGGAAGCGATAATAGTTCAGGAAATGAAGCTCGAAAAAAGTTAAAACCTCGCAATTTTTTCGTCCTGCATGTATCCAGTTGAAATTTTAACAGAAGGTAGGTGATAGCCCAAGAATCAAAATCTATACCGAACCGAAGTGCGCTGAAGGGTTTTAGGAGTGAAAACTAACCCTAATTGTCAAAAATTATAAAATAACGTATTAAACCTGAATATGGGTAAGATTTGGTTTGAATTAGTTAAATATTGATTATTTTATACTTTTGAATAGAGTTTCATCATATTTTAACCCTTAAAAAGCAACCCTTGGTAGAGATTAATGTAAAAAAATTACTAATTAAAAAAAATGATTTCGCCTTGGATCGATTTGGATAAAAATTTGGATTTAAGCTCAATTCACCCGCTGCTTTATAGTTTATGTCATGTCGACGAACCCTGATTGTTCTAAGGGGTGAAAACTACCCGTAATTGTCAAAAATTAAATAAATAACATATTAAACCTGAATATGGGTAAAATTTGGTTTGAATTAATTAAATAATGATAGTTTCGTGCTTTTGAATAAAGTTCCATCATATTTCAACCATTAAAAAGCGACCCTTATTAGAGATTAATATAAAAAAATTAGTAATGCGAAGAAAATGATTTCACCTTGGAACGATTTGCATAAAAATTTGGAATTAAGCTCAACTCACCCTCTGCTTTATAGTTTATGTCATGCCGATGAACCCTGATTGTTCTTAGGGCTGAAAACTACCCTTAATTTTCAAAAATTGTAAAATAATACTACAAATCTTAAGATTTGTAGTTGGATTAGTTAAATAGTGATTTTTTATACTTTGAAATACAAATTCATACATTTTCAATCCTTAAAAATCAATTGTTATGAGTGCTATAGGTGAAAACAATTTTTTGCCAAAATTTTGCAACTTTTCAACTTTTGAAAATCACCCTTTACAACATTGCAGATTTTATAAACTAATTTATAAGATATAAATTGAAAAAAGTAGAATTAAATACAAAAAAAAATTATCAACATAAAAAGGCACCATATATTCTTATACATTTACATAAATAGTTGAAAATATTTACATTTATAGGTAAAACAATTATAATATTAATTTTATTTGTCATCAATTACATCTTCTTCGTGATCTATGTCATCCTCATCTTCTTCAATTATTGGTGGACTGTTATTGCACCCTTCACCTGAGCACCCAGAACAAGTAGAGTTACGGTATAAACCAACTTTTTTGCACCCACATGAAACCCCGCATCCATTTCTGCATTGGCAAAAAATAATGTTTAACAGTTCATCGGGTGCAGGTTGTTTGTTCATGCGTACGGGTACTAACAAACCATCTTTGGAATACCATCCCCAATCTGTTGCTCTGATATTTTCATTGCCAAGCCATAGACATATGAGCAGATGTTTTATTCTGTTGTATGGGATTTCAAAATAAGAACGCTTAAAATTTCGAATGTATAACGCCCCACTAGCTAATATACCGGTTTTGTAGATTATTATGCTCCGAAATGTACTGTACTATACTAATGGAATTTTCCGGAAAAAATTAACTGGTTTTTTTAACGTATTTCCTTTAATTTTTAACGATAGAGTGTTTCTTCAAAAACGATTTGTAGAGGTTTTTAAGAGCTACAAGGATCTGTGAATTAAATCTTTTTGGAACCCTTGGTTTTTAAATGGGGTGAGTTTAAAGGGCTCGAAAAAGATGGTGCTTGATCGTAAATCGATGCTTTAAACGGCTATATCTCGCCAAATATTCATTGTACAACAAATCTAAATAAAGGATAATTTTAGTCATTAAAAAAGCTACAATTTGGTAATTTTTATTTTTTTCATATATTCAGTATTTTCGGGCATATTTAAAAAAAAGAAGGGTAAAAAATATGAAATTGTAAATCGTTTCTCGCTTTAAGCTGTACTTTTTCTAAAGCTAAGCATTTTAAATGGGTCAAACTTCTTGGACGTATTAACAATACATGTACAAAGGGAATTGCAGAAGGGTGAAGATCGATTTTAATTATGACCTTATTTTTATCATAACTCACTCAAGTTTTGAGCTAGAGTCTTTTTTTATGATAGGTCTATGCATGCACTTTAAAAAAGATTTTGTGAGTTTTCTTCCAAAAATGCATCATTTTCCCGATATTTGACTTTGAATCTTTCAAATTTGGCATTTGATGAAAACCGCTGAACATTGATAGGCCGTATTTCGGTTCCTATTATATCGCAAAAAAATTTTAAAAATGAATTGTATTTGTCTTTTTAAAAGCTACAAATTTGTTCTCTACAATTTTTTTGATAAAATGCACCATTTTCGAGTTATTTTTCGCTGGATTGAAAATCCACGTCAAAAACGTGGATTTTTTCGTCTAAAAGTTGTTACTTTCAATCGCGAATAACTTGAAAAATATCATTTTATAAAAAAATGTATAGCACATTTTTTGTTTAGAATCACTTTTTTAATCGAAACCTGTAGTTAAAACGTAAAAAAAATTTCACCCCGGAGATGGGGTGGCAACCACCCCCTAGGCTTTGGCGCACTTTGGTTCGATATAGATTTTGATCCTTAGGCTATTACCTACCTTCTGTTAAATTTCAAGTCAATCCACGCAGCACGAAAAAATTGCGAGGTGAAATGCTTCATTTCCTGGACTATAACTGGTTTGACAGCATATTAAAATCGTAGATTTATGTGTAGCTTTCAATTTTTATGAGTTCAGAATCCAGCAGCCCGCTGAAGTATTGGATTTTTATAATATAATTATTTGACATTTTGTTGGCCAACCACCTACAGCAGAATTGAGCCGAAATACATTATATTCCTATGTTCCGAATTTATTTCGTTCAATCTGTATATATAGAGACTAAATATAGAGGCAATTTGAATGATTTAATTTACGGATAAGTTAATATTTTCCCACCGGCCAGCAATACTGGTCAAGCAATGCTTTGAATAGTTGATACTTACATTCACCCAGCCCAATCAAGCTAAAGGTTAACGATCCAATGAACATCAGACAGATAACATCCAATGAAAATCCAAACGCAGAACTGGTACTTATAAACATAAACCATGCACTGGTATGACTATCTTGGTGCTTGTCGAATTCCGCCCTAAGAATGTTTTGAGCTTTAAAGGCTCTTATGGTCGTTAGTCCTTCCAATGTAGCTGTTAGATGACTGAAGACTGGACTTTTCACTAAAAAAATAAATGAATGAGTATAATACATTTTATGCCAATTGAATATTCAGTTAATGGAATTAGTATAACAGCCGTGAGTAGATGACCATAAAACAATTTGTAAAATACTCTACTGAAAAAACAGTTGCTAATTCTATCTAGGGGGTGTAAATAAGTTAACAGGTATGGTAATAATACTTATTTATGCATTAAGTATGAAAGTACTTCAAAGTTTAAAAAGAAAAGCCCAAAATAAGAAAGACTTTGCAGAGGTCATCGCCAACCTTCTCTAAGAAGAAGGCACCCAAAGAAGAGAAGATTTAAGTACTTTATTTACGTGACGTGAAATTTTGCAGAGAGTTAGGGCTATGAAATGAGTAAATTTTAATATATCTATAAGGTAAATCATTAAATTTCAGAAAACTTCAAAACTCATACATTTTATGTCAGTATGTCATAGTTTTAGAGTCCAAGATTACACTCTTGTCCGGTAACAACCATCTTGCGATATGCCCTCGACATATTTAATCTGTAATACTAACTATAGCATAGTCTAATCCATGAAAATATCTGTGATACTATCTAGCCATCTAGAGCTCATATGATTCTAATAATCTCTTCAGGAAACCTTTTGCCTGTTTTTGGCAAAGATATGCTAAAATATCCTGTAACCCTTTCAGTATTTAATCTCTGAAGATACTACTCCCATTTAGAAATTATTACTATCGGTATCTTATACAAATATCCTATCTATCTCCTGCAGAAAATGTGTTAAAACTTACAAACGAATACAGCAGAGACCAGTAGAAAGACCACCAAACAATGGTACCAGGTTTGGAGCTTAGCGTCACAAGAAAAGCTCAGAATAATAATAAAAAGAACTAATAAGAACCATGCAAACCTTAGCAAACGAATGTACTAGATCTTTTCTCTGACAATAGTTTGGGATGAAAATGTATTGTGGTGTTATTTTATTTTATTTTTACAATCTAGCACTAACACTAAAAACACAATTAATTTATATTATTTATAATTAATTCTAGAAATTTATTTATTAGACTAACTTCTACAATTTAAATTTCTTTATTTATACCGTACATCTATGCTTCTAGAAATCCTTGGTAGCTTGTTAATTATCGCTTCCAATGCTCAAATCATTCCACGGACTTTTAGAACGGAGTTGAATTTCCGCGTCAGGATACGTGCACTTGAATCGTCAATTCGAGTGTACTCCATATTCCATTATAGGCGTAGCAATGGCAGGCGTAACAATATACTTTACAGGGCCACAAATATTGGAGTTAAAAGTAGAATATGCAATTTCTAGTATAAAAAATTATAAACCGATTGGACAAGATGGTATAAACAAGGAAACCCTTAAGCTCTTAAATACTAAACGTGTTTGTTTAACATAGTATACAACGTATGGGAAATACCAACAGATTGGCTGAAATCAATATTTGGCAAAAGAAACACAATTCCAGACGCTGCGAAGAACACCGCCTAATGAGTCACGCAATAAAGGTGTTCCTTAAGATAATACATAAACGAATCTGTAACAAATATAAAGAACAAGAGACACAAATTAAATAAAATTGGCCTTTATGGCAAAGACATAATAATTATACAAACAATGAAAAAGCGAAACTAACGTTTGCCAGCGGTCGCTATACAGAACAAATGGAAAAAGCAAAGGAGGGAGTTAAATGAGATTGCATTCTCTTTCTACTTTTATTCAGTATAAGATCTTTGAAGTTTATGAATATCTAAATGCTAAGTTAAAATCTTTGTATAATGTGAAAAGGGATGTAACAATTGACGAAAGATTACTTCTCTACAAAGGCAGACTCGGATGAATTCAATACATTCTAAACACAAGGGCACGATTTGGTATAAAGAAATACAGGCTGTGTGAATTTTCCTTCTGATATATTTTACATAATTTATACGAGAAAGGATTTAGAGTTTGACAAACAATTTAAAGATCTTCCAGTGTCAACACGTATTGATATGAAGCTAATGAAACCTCTACTGTCAGAAGGTCACTGTTTGACTACTGACCTTTTATTAGCAGTTCGCACAGATATGTACGGTAATACAAGAATACAAAGAAAAGCTCTACCACCAGAAATGAAGAGCAAACTTAAGAAAAATGAAGTTATCGCGTTTCAAAAAGGAATGGCAATAGTAATGAAGTAGAAGGATAAACGAGAGGTTTGTGTGCTGTCAACGCTGCATAATGCCAAAATGGTTATTGAAGAAAGGCGAGGAAAGGTGTTAAACAAATCTAGGATTGATCAAGACTACAACAATACTATGGTTAACGTCGACAGAGTCGATCAACATCTTGCTGATTACCCTATAACCAGGAAGCGTGGACAGAGGTATTACAAAAGAATATTCTTCCTAAAAGAACCTTCTCGGACATGCTGAGTGGAATGCTTTGTGCTGTATAAGAAAAGCGGAGGACTAGGAACGCATCTAGTTTTCAAATGGGTTTGATAACGCAACTGATTGAGGTTTGCTACAAAGATAGAGGTGTGTCTAGAGGAGACCTTCAGCTTTCAGACCCACTTAGACTTACTGGTTGACATTTCCAGAAGTTGTTCCTGTCACAGGGAAAAAAGCTTACCCAACAAGAGTGTGGGTTATGTGCAGTAAGGCGAAGGATGTATCCGGAAAGAAGTTGAGGCGCGAATCAAGGTACTACTGTCCTGATTGCGATGTGGGACTTTATGTGACGCTCTGCTTCAAGACGTATTATACGGTAAATAACTTTTAGTTTCTCTTGGTTGTGGTCATTATTATAAAAATATAAATACATATATGCATGCCTTGTTCCTTAGGCTACAATGCATCTATAAGTTCTTCTGAATAAATACTTTTTGATCATTATCCACAGCGTACATAAAAACTTTTGTTGTCGAGTTTGCTGGGAATTACTTTTAAATGAAAAACGAACGTACAATGCTCTAGGCAAGGTAGACAACAAAACCTTTTGCTCACAGGTTTTAGTTATCATATATATCTTTCAACTGTTAAAAAAAAAGAAAATTAACATTGTATAACTTTTTTGATTTCTGCAAGAAGTGAAGAAGCAAGTGCATTAATAAAAAACTAGGTTTTTTGCGACCGTTTTTGGAAAAATAAATGGTTCTTTAAGGGGTTAAGAAGTTATAGAAGCTTTAACAACGTCATGCCTGCATCAGATGTCTCCAGACTAGCTCCCATTATCACACAATATTGCACGAATAAACCAGGCAGTTCTGGAAAATGTTAAGATCAACTCTAACTGAGAATTATCTAATTATCAAGTCTTATGTATATATTTTTTGGTTTTTTCTAACTCAATCACTTATTGTTTCATTAAATGTTTTATAACGGGAAGATATTAGATTCCATACTACTTACTTCTTCCTTCCAGCCGCTTAATATTGTTGGACGATCGGAGATACACTATCCTGATAAATGAAAACAAAATTCCCAATATTATTACAACGATAACTGATGCCGGGTTTACATAAAGAACTAATGCCAAGTGTCCAAGCATTTTGAGAGTGATCTGAAAATAAAACATGTATTGTTAAATATTGCATTATTATTGCGATTATTATATTGCAGGAGATTATTAGCAAGAGATTTAATCAAAGCAATAAAAGATAATAAATATATACTTAAATATATTACATATTCCATACCTTACTTTTATATATCTCTATTAAAAAATTAAAAACTTTTATATTTCTTTTATAACAAAAATTGCAAAAATGGCACTTACTCTAGCAGCTTCGAATAACATTCTGGGCAAGATTTCATCTACGGAACCAATATCCTTTGAAAACCGATTCAAGATTCTTCCACTTGGATTTTTATCGAAAAACCTCATATATGTATTAGTCACTCCAGTGAATAGCATGCCGTGTAAATTTTCAGAACAATTTAGAATAAATTTGTAGAAACTAAGTGACCTCGATAATGTCGTAACCAAGCAAAACAATAAAATGGCTCCATAGATTATCAAACAAGTTTGGCTACTCCAGTTCATGTAAAATGGTACACTTTCATCAACTACGGTAGAGTTTAATGAACCATTTACTGCAGTACGGTTTAACGTCATCTGGTACTCTTCGATATTCGTCCAGAAGCTAATGAACCAATCGATAACAGTGGCACTGCCCTGAGCTACAGTAAGAAGAGAAACTAAAAATACTATTTCGCAGATGCTCATGCCTGATTTAAAGAATTCGAGGAATAAGGAACCTTTAACTTTGCCTTTGGACGTTTCTTCTTGCATTTCTTTGGCAATGGCTTTCATTTTTCCGTTTACTTTGGAAACATCTGTCGTGCTTATCTTCCTAGCTTCCTGTTCTTCTATAGCAGAATCTTGGGACTTTTGACGTTTTAAAATTTCTTCAATTTCTTCGGTTAAGTGGACAGTTAGAGGGTTATCGCTTTTTAGTAGTTGTGAATAGGTACCTTCAATTTCGATACCTCCCTGAAAATTAAAATTGTTTTTTACGATTAATTTGTTTTAACTTAATTGTGCGCATTTACAATAATAATACTACTTGGATATCAGAATAAGACCATTAAAGATTACTATTTGGGCTTTGAGAAACAAGAGAAAAAATTACTAGAACATGCCTGTGCCAAGAAACTTTTTCAAATTGTTTATCACTTAAAGCACTTTATTTAATTTCGCTACTAATAAGCGATATTTATGAGCCTTTGACAGAAATGGGACGATTTACACATAAGATTAAAATGCAATATTTGACCTCCAGCCGAAAGACGAAAACTATCAACATTAAAGCACTGAATATAATACCGGAACCAATACGCAATAAGCTCAATAAAACGCGCCAAAATAGATACGAACAAACAAAAACAGTTACTCCTAGCCTAGCCACATACAACATCCAATCTATAGCTAAAGATAAAAAGGTCTACGAATTAGAAGAACTATCCAAAATAAAATGGGATATTGTAGGACTGTCAGAAGTGAAAAGAAGAAGCGAACAATGTATGTATCTAAACTCTGGAAATCGCTTATACTATACAGAGAAAATCGACAAAACATATGGTGGAGTAGGATTTCTTGTCAAAAAGTATCTCACACCATACATTTTCTACATATAAAGCGTTTCTGATAGAGTAGCTTATATTATATTAGAACTAGATACAGTATTGTGCGAATTAATGGAATCATAGGCTGTTTTAATGAAAAAAACAGTTTAATTTAGTTAAAAATTATATTTTGACAAAACTATAAAGGTAAACTTACATTATTCAGTAGGAAATATGACCCCCTTTGGCAGCAATTACTGCTTTTACCCGTTTTGGCATAGATTCTATGAGTTTCTGGCAGTTGTCAGATATCCTTTCATCTCGATACCAAACCTGAATGGCCGCTTCTATCATTTTTGTTTTAGTGGTACAGTCGATTTTTCGAAGTCTAGCTTTGCAAATGGCCCATAAATTTTCAATGGGGTTGGGGTCGGGCGAATTACCGGAGCCAATCCAAAACATTAATCTGCTTATTTTGAAAAATGCCATCATTTCCTTTGATTTGTGACAGGGAGCAGAGTCCTGTAGAAGAATCGCTCCTCCTTGGGGTTCACATTTTTGGAGTTGTTTGTCGAAATACTTTTCCAACATGGATTTGTATTTTTGGCTGTTCATCATTGTCATGGTTTTCATTGTCAGACTTCCTGACGAATTTTTACCGCGCTGTCCCTGAACTATAAAGTGGGTTTCATCTGTAAATGGGACTTTTTTCCAGTCGCCTACAGTCCAATTAGAGTATTTTTTGGCCCACACTAGTCTTTGTTTCTTCATTCGTTCAGTTAGAAGCTGTTATTTCTGTGAACGAATTGCCCTTCTACCATTCCCCAAAAGTCTTCTACGAACAGTTGAGTCATAAATCACTATAGCTGATGCTGCTAGATCTTGTTGTAGGTCTTGGCTTGATTTTCTTGGGTCCAATTTGCTCTTTCGAAGTAAAAATCTATCATCTGCTGGTGTTGTTTTTCTCTTTCTTCCACATTTTCCTAACCTTTTCACATCCACTGATCCCGTTTCTCGTTTACGCTTCAAAATTTTGCTTACTACCCCCTGACTCACTCCACACGTTCTAGCAATCTCTCTTTGTGACATACTAGTGTGTTCACTGAACGTGACAATCTTTTCACGCTTCCTAGGCGTAATATCCATGTTGGAATAAAACCAAAAACAACACAAAATAGTACAAAAACCCCCAAAACAACACAAGCTTGGTAAGAAATGGCCTAAAAACACACTCAAACACACCAACACACAGTAAGGTTATGTTTTCAATGCTTGGTCAGCTGTCAACTGTGTAGGTAGTGTTGCCAACTGTGAATATTGACAAAATGAAAAAAAAATTCACAGTGATTCCATTAATTCGCACAATACTGTAATAAAATCTAGATCAAGGTTATACAAGTATACGCTCTCACAACAACACATCAGGATGAGGTAGTTGAAATGTTCTACGAAGATTTGATACCAGCATTAGATGAAAATGATACAAAGTATACCATCATTATGGGAAATTTCAACGCAAAATTAGGTAAAAAAGAAGAAAATAATTGCTTTCGTTTAAAATTTAAGAATCTGTAATAATTAAAATTATATGTATTAGGGCGTGGCTAATATAAATGTCATAATTATTCTCGGTCTTAAAATGTTGTTTTGACATATGACAGCTGGCATCTAGCCTTATCACTTTTGACATTATTTTATTTTGGTTTTTTAAAGAAGGTTAATTTCTGATGTTTTATGAATTCGTAATGATTTTTTATTTGCCACAGTATAGCCCAATAACATTTGTAACTTATGCAGCAAAAATAGGACACATGTAAGATTTTCTTTGTTTATTTCTATTAATACAGTCTTTATGTATTTTTAACTAATTATATCATATTTATTTTACATCATTTAATATTTTGTAGCTGTTTGTGATGACAGTAATAAATGTTTGATTTATTTCTCCAACCATTTTGTTTATTTAGAGTAGTCTCCTTACCCCTTGGTGTGTTTTTTTATTTTAGGGATATTTTTCCTAAATCCAGCAAGATTAGGATTCTTTGAAGCGGCGTCCTTTGTTTCTTAAATAGCTAGAAGTCTTTTTTGTTGTCTCTATTTGCCCAGTTGCCCAGGAGATTTATGCCCTTCGTTACATAATGACATTGTAATATTTGCTACAAGTTTCGATGAACTACAGACCATGATGACGCAACTATTTCAAGCTTCAAGTGGCGCAAAATAGAAGACACTGGATTAATTTGGGGAGGCATGTGTCCAAAGTTGGATTACTTAAGGCTGAAAAAGAATAAGAAGACCAATACGCGGCAGTTGGCCCTTTAGTTGGAAACAAGGCGTTCAAAACAGACATTAAGGAATTCTTACAAGAAAGTTCTTAAATGTAAGATGTGTCCGGCTAATTAATATTTTTATACACACATGCAGAGTCCTTTAGAAAGTTAGAAACGTTACCCTAAATAAATCGACTTTTTGCCAATATATTCTATGGGCGTCAAGCTAAATGAAAGGAACTAAGAATATCTAAGAAATGAGCTGTGCAAGTGTTCTCCAAAAAAAAATAAATATGTTGCCGTTTCTACAGAAGATTTTCTAAAACCTGGTGGTCTGAAAGGGCGACTAGAGATTTTAAGACATAATTCAAGTAATTCATGAAATGTCCACATACGTTATATCTGCGAAACAAAATGTCGAACTCAGGTAAACAATATTTCTGTATTTACAAAGAACTCAGACAATATTTGTAGTAACCGTGGCAACCCTGTAAATAAAGCCACATTAGTCCTTCAGTTTGCACGCAGCTCACATCTATCGCTATCCAGGGTATACTGTAGTATACGAGCGAGTTTCTTTAGCGAATTGGCAGTTAATTGACCTCTTTATATCCTACATGAATAGAAAAAAAATATTAACTTACATTATTAAGAACTAGAATGTGATTAGCAGTGTTTAAATAATAAACTTGATGGGTTACTAGTATCCTTGCTTTCTTAGCTAAAAATCCATTAATGCAGTCTTCATATAATACTTTTGAAACAATACTATCAACAGCAGAAAGTGGATCATCCAATAAATATATATCCGCATCTTTGTAAATAGCACGAGCTAGATTAATCCTAGCTTTTTGCCCACCACTGAGATTAGCACCTTTCTCTCCTATCAGAGTAAAGTCTCGGTCGGGGAATTGATCAAAATCTTTTCTCAGTTCGCATACTTTTAATACTTCATCATAGCGGGCTTTGTCAAAGTCGGAACCAAAAAGAATGTTTTGCCTAATACTGCCGGAAAAGATCCAAGGTTCTTGAGAGGCATAGGAAAGTGTTCCATGGACGGCTAGGGTTCCTTCAACTATATCAAGTTCACCTATAAAACATAATTAAATTAGATCTAATGAAAATCATTTTAAATAATAGACAGTTCAATAAGTTTTGCAGTTCGATAAGAAAAACACAATTTTATGGCTTGAAATACGCTTTATTATTCAGTATAGTCTCCCTGAACAATACCATTCGCTACTTTAATACAAAAGAGTCACAAATCAAAATCACAGTTTTTACAGGGGAGCTATGCAAAGTTTTGACTTTTATTTTTGGTTCATTTCTCTTTTATTATATATCATTTATATAAGTTAAATATTGTTAGAAAGGTAAGTTTAAACTGTATTTGATATTGTATTCAGATACAACGTAAGTATGTATATGAGAGTGATATTAGCAGATGTGTCTCTTTTGTATAATAGTAGAGTAAATAGACTGGCAAAAGGCTTCTAGAATAGATTTTGGTGGGCACTTTGTTGCTAAAATGTAAAACCTATTTTTTTTCGTTTCTAATATCTTTCTAATGCAAAATCACTTGGTCGTCCAAAAATCGTAGCGGGAGGGGAGTGGTGGGGAGCCTTACAAAAAAAACGTGCTAATTTTTTTTTCGTCATTTTTCGGATCTACGATAACCGAAAATTCATTCCTCAAATTTTCATGTTGATCTGGACATTAGAAATATTTTTATTTTATTTATAAAAATACGTCAAACCATTGTTGTATACGGAGCGCCTTCATACAAAATCACTTGTTCTGAAAACCCATATTTTTAAAATCTTTTACCTCGCTCTACCTCGAAAAATATTGGGTTTAGCAAAAAATTACTTTCTATAAACATTATAGACCAAAAATCAGAGAACACGTGGGTTTTTTTAGAATTTCGATTGGATAATTAGTTTAAGAAAAAATCAAATAAATCGAACGGCATGTCACGACTGACAGTGCTGAACGCGGAGATGCGAGGAAGGGCGAGATTCCTGTGCCGAAGTCAAAGCAAATCGACTCTAGTGATGGCGATGTTGTTAGGGTCGATTTTACATTGAAACGCTGTTGTGTTGTATATTCTATTGCGAAAGTGCATCATTGTGCATTATTTTTTACTAATAGCGCGAAATCCACTGAGCTGAGATTTTTAATATTAAAAGTTTTAAATTATTAAAAGTTATTAATTAGCTTATTGCTATAATAAAAATATTAAATATCTACTTAATATTAAAGTAAATATTTTTTTTATCTAGAAACGGATTTAACGAAAAGCAGCAGGTCTGACAGTGAACTTGAGTGAAAAATCAGATTAAGGCATGTTTTTTTTCCATAAAGTCCATTTCCTTTTCAGTTTGTTGAAGGACGCGGAAACTGGAGAATACATTTTTGTTCTAGTTTTCGAAAAATGCATCCTTACTTTTTTGCATTTGGCCATGTGAACTATTCTTTTTGGGGAACATTATATTTGTTGGACATGTACAAATTTGCTGATAAGTATCCAGAATTTCATGAAGACTTTATTAGAGGAAATTTTGTTGTGAAAAGTTGGAACAGAAACTTTTACCAACTATGTATAGATATAGCTTTAAACACATAAATACAAACTCAAAAGATGCAGGAGGAATCGTGTGATTTACTAAAACCAGCACAAAACTAGACGAATGGTTTTTAAGCTACAATATGATTGGCATGATGGTAGATGAATTTCGTGCATCATGAGACCTAAGCAACCACTCAAGTCAAAACGTAGAAAGTAGAAAAAAAACGGATGAAAATTGATGAATATTCTGTACAAAAACTACATGATCAGTTTTTACGATTTAATGTATTTTTAAAAAGCGTAGATTGTCTTCTCGTAATTTCAGCTAATGAGATTGCATCGCCAAATGTTCAAACATCCTTATTAATATACAAAAAAAAATGAAAAAGAGAGCCTAGCAAAATTTATTGTTACTGTTGGAACTCCCAATTTTTATCAGCATAGAAAAGAGAATAATCTTCCAAAACTTCGTCGCGCAGATACCTATAAAACTGTCTCTGAAAAGAAGAAAATTATTCAAGCTGAGCAAGAATTTTTACAAAAAATACTAGCAATCAAGGCAATTGAAAGAGACATAAATATTATGAGGATATTTTCAAATAGGAATTGACAGCATATCCAATGTCACTTGTACCAGCAGGAGTTTTATCGATACCATAAAATAAATCTGCCTTAGGTTCTATAATAGAACAGTTTACAGTTGTTACAAAATCACAAAACGTGTCACATTTTTGATGGTATGGGATTGATTCAAGCCGTTGGCAAACCATCAAATGCCAAAACATTTGACGACTATGCAAGAATTTTGAAATCAATAGTGTTCAAGAACCCCTACAGCGTTAAAAGGATCGATTTTGTTTTGGATCACTACAAGGAATCTTCCATAAAAACTGCACGAGACAAAAGAGAGGCGCCAAAATTGAATCAATACAACGGTTAATTGAAGGTCCGGATACAGTATTACCTCAAAAATGGAATTCATTTATTAATTGAGTTTTTAATAAAAACCAGCTTACACACTTCGTAAGCAATCAGCTAGTTAAATATTCCTTCACAAATTGTACCGGTCACTTCGTATCCAGCAGAGGATTTTGCGACGTTTTACATTACAAAACAAATTTTGGTTTGAATTCTGAAATATTAGTCTCATCACATAAAGAGGCCGATACCAGAATAATATTACACATTCTGTCAGCAAAAATGGAGGGATATACAAAATGTATAGTCGACTGTAAAGTTACCGATCTGCCCATTTTAAAGACCTTTCAACTCCAGAAGTTTAGATGAGGGTTGGAACAAAGGACAACGAAAGATCTATAGGTATTCACGAACTCTCTATGGATTACTTTATAGGTATCTGCAGTTAAGCTACAATATGCCAATCATATTGTAGCTTAAAAACCATTCGTCTAGTTTTGTGCTGGTTTTAGTAAATCACACGATTCCTCCTGCATCTTTTGAGTTTGTATTTATGTGTTTAAAGCTATATCTACAAATAGTTGGTAAAAGTTTCTGTTCAAACTTTTCACAACAAAATTTCCTCTAATAAAGTCTTCATGAAATTCTGGATACTTATCAGCAAATTTGTACATGTCCAACAAATATAATGTTCCCCAAAAAGAATAGTTCACATGGCCAAATGCAAAGAAGTAAGGATGCATTTTTCGAAAACTAGAACAAAAATGTATTCTCCAGTTTCCGCGTCCTTCAACAAACTGAAAAGGAAATGGACTTTATGGAAAAAAAAACATGCCTTAATCTGATTTTTGACTCAAGTTCACTGTCAGACCTGCTGCTTTTCGTTAAATCCGTTTCTAGATAAAAAAAATATTTACTTTAATATTAAGTAGATATTTAATATTTTTATTATAGCAATAAGCTAATTAATAACTTTTAATAATTTAAAACTTTTAATATTAAAAATCTCAGCTCAGTGGATTTCGCGCTATTAGTAAAAAATAATGCACAATGATGCACTTTCGCAATAGAATATACAACACAACAGCGTTTCAATGTAAAATCGACCCTAACAACATCGCCATCACTAGAGTCGATTTGCTTTGACTTCGGCACAGGAATCTCGCCCTTCCTCGCATCTCCGCGTTCAGCACTGTCAGTCGTGACATGCCGTTCGATTTATTTGATTTTTTCTTAAACTAATTATCCAATCGAAATTCTAAAAAAACCCACGTGTTCTCTGATTTTTGGTCTATAATGTTTATAGAAAGTAATTTTTTGCTAAACCCAATATTTTTCGAGGTAGAGCGAGGTAAAAGATTTTAAAAATATGGGTTTTCAGAACAAGTGATTTTGTATGAAGGCGCTCCGTATACAACAATGGTTTGACGTATTTTTATAAATAAAATAAAAATATTTCTAATGTCCAGATGGGTATGCAAATTTGATGAATGAATGTTCGGATATTGTACATCCGAAAAACGATGAAAAAAATAATTGCATTTTTTTTTGTAAGGCTCCCCACCACCCCCCTCCCACTACGATTTTTGGACGACCAAGTGATTTTGCCTTACAAAGATATTAAAAACCAAAAAAAATGGTTTTTACATTTTAGCAATAAAGTTCCCACGGGATAACACAATAGGATCCTGTTTAAACTATACTATAAAATATATTTGTAATATCATGATAAGTATTTAAAATAAAAGGACACATACCAAAGAAACAAACACTTTAATTAATTTTTTTGTCATTATTTTATGTAGATTTTACAATTATTACAAAAACAGATGACAATGTCAGGCTATAAAAATAACACAAGTTAATTCTAAAACTAAATAAGTATGAGTTTCGGTAAATTAGTTAGTTATTAGGCATTATTAGTTAAATAAACAACTAGAAACATTAAGAAATCGCAATTAAAATTAATCAACCATATATAAAAATATGTGTAACTCTATAAAAAGAATAATAATAAGTGAATAAGGTGGCCCTTTTTTCTTTGAAGTTTTTAGTTATGTTATATATTGGTCAGGCACATAAATTGGAGAAGACTTTAAAACTCTGGACACATTTCTTTGAATTGTAGAATGAATGAATCGTATATAACGATACTTTGGTACAATTTCAGTCATATTGGAGTAAATTGTCTTTGGAAATAAACACGTTGTGTAATATGATATTCAAACTTTTGAACTATATTAAAATAAGATGATATAATATCACAATGAATACAATATAAAAGTAAATGAAAAAAACTGCATTTTACTTTATAATAACATTTTACTGTCATAAAAAATGCAAAAGAGATGTATCCCAATGTATGGGCCTTTTTTATATTAAATGATGTAGCAGCTCTGACAATATCATAAGCAAAATGAGCATATATTCCGTAATACATTTAGGATGTATTTTTGATTAAGAAATGAAAATATGTATATGCGAATATTTTGTATAATATGGCCGTATTTTATTACACATTTCTTTTAAGAAATAATAATATACTAACGTGAATCTTATAATGCAAAACTGACTTATTTCAAAATGTAACACTTTTGTTTATAAAGAGCGATAACAACGACTAGTTTTTTCTAAAATGTGGCTATTTAACACAAAAGAAACGTGCGTTCACTTCGACTGTCAGAACGCAACTAACAAATTGGCGGTTTTGTCCATATTTGTTCTCTCAAATACAAAAATGTATAAAGGGCGCTAGTGTCATTTCGATATTAAACAACGTAAAATATGTGGAGATTTCAGTGGTATGTAAAAATATGACTGCTTAACGGTAGATTTTTTTAATAAAGGCTATTTTCGCTTTTTTTTATCTGTGGCAATTTTATATTGAAGTAGCGAATTGTTCCAATGAGATTCCAATTTATGAATTTCATCCCTGAGCTGAGAATCGGGAAGGGAAGCAAAATACGCTTTCAAAGCTGTTATCGCCTTATCAATTGATGAAAAACTCTTTACACGCGCATGATTTCTTTGGGTATTGATACAGACAGCTCGCTATGGAGCAAATCTGGTGAATACGGTAGATGCTCCAACAATTTTAACTTTAATTCATGAATTTTAACCATTGTCAAAATGCTCATATGGCACGGTGCATTGTCCTAATGAAAATGGATTTTTTCTTCTACAAACCGGGTCTTTTTTTAGAATTTTTCCCTTCATCTACTCTAAAAGATTACACTAATATTCAATATTTATTGTTTCATCTAGTTGCAAGTAATTCACAAACAAAATTCCTTTCGCATTCCAAAAAACTGATGCTAACATATTCTTGGCCAATTTCTGGAATGAATTGACAGATTTAAATGAACCTCCACATATCTTCATATGAAGGATGGGGTGGAGGCCTGGACCTTAAGAAAGAGGTGAGAGAGCGATTTGAAGCATTCAAGATGTGGACCTACCGAAGAATATTAAAAATAAGTTGGGTAGACCGAATAACACATGTTGAGGTCCTCAGAAAGATGAAAAAGGAAATGGAAATCATGAATACGATTAAGATAAGAAAGTTACAATATCTCGGCCACGATATGGGAGGGGATAAATATGTCTTGCTACAAACCATAATGCAAGGAAAAATACAGGGAAAACGAAGTATTGGAAGAAGACGCATCTCCTGGCTCAACAATCTGAGAAAGTGGTATAATTGCAAATCCATCGACTTGTTTAGAGCTGCAATCTCAAAAGTGAAAATAGCTGTGATGATTACCAACCTCCTTAGAGGAGACGGTACATAAAGAAGAAAAAGAAGAAGGATGTACTAATATAACAAAAAAATTAGGCTAGTAGTAATGCTCTCTCAACCGCAAATCCGTTTCGGAGCAGAAGAACCAGTACTTATACTTCACACAATTCTTTAGCTTTTTGTTTTAATTTAGGATCATGATGATAGACCCAATTATTATCAATAGTGATAAATCGGCGCACAAAATTCACTTTATCCTTTCGATACCGCCCTTAATGTTGCTGAGAAAGTCGTATTCGAATGTTTTTTGTTTCATTGTTAGTAAATGTGGCACCTATTGTGAACACAGCTTTCTGAAACTTCATACTTAAGTCGAAATTTTGCTTTTACTGTTCAATGAGATGCCTAGGGTTTCTACTAAATCTCTTTCAATCACTCGACGATTTTCCAATGCGATATTCTGTATTTTTTTTCTACGATTTCTGGTGTTGTTGCTTTTTTTATTAGTCTTCAATCCTTTTACGACCACTTTTAAATTTAGCAACCCCTACTGTATTAATTGAAGGCGAAAAGTCCTTATACACTTTCAACATTTGTCCATAAATTTCCTTTGCTTTTAAACGTTCCCAAAATAAAAATTCAATAAGTGCGCGATATTTGATTTTTATCCATTGTAAAAAAAATACCGACACGTCCATACTCGACAGCATGTAAACATTAATTGACAGATTAAAATGAAACTGCACATACGTTCATGTGAAGAGTATACCAACATAACAAAAAAAATAGGCTAGTAGCAACGCCTTCCATATGGAATTGGAAGGCGTTAGTAGCAACGCCTATCCAATATGGAGTGGCCAAAGTGGAGCGATGAGTCCAAATTTAGATCCAATTGAACATATTTGAGATACACTCGGGAAGCGTTTGAAGGATAGTTAGCTACTCAAAAACCTACATGTCGAGTACGTTCTCGTAGAAGAATGGGAACAACATCTAGATCAAGAAACTATTTGAAAGGTGATTTAAAACATGCCTGGACGTTCTGCAGACGTTCGGCGAGTTAGAGGAGCCATAAAACGCCATTAGTTTTGTTTTAAAATATTTTTTAGCAACGCTGTTTTAAAAAAAATAAATCGAATTTTTCACATTTATCACCAGGAACAAAAACTTTGCTATATTTATAGCGAAAAGCCTTAGATGTAATTAAATAAAAATAATATAATCATAAAAATAATTATTTCAAAAAAAACGAACATCTCTTTTTCGTTTTGATCAGTCTAGTATGAGTTTATTTGTTGCAGTGTTAATAAACACCATAAATATTCACAATGGACTCACAGTACCGCCACCTATGATGTAGCGCTTGAATTGAAAGAACCAGTCTTCACGCTACGTACAGTTTCCTGTAAAATACATAGTACCGACAAAAATACAATTTTTGTGTATCTAAGTTTATTTTACCAAGATGGCGCTTGCCTCTGTAAATAAGATCTATTGGTAAATTGATGTTTATTTATTTATGTTTCTAATTATTAGAGGTTGAATAATTATTCCTAGCGTTCTCACCAGCCAAATTTCTTTTAATGTTGTAAAAATCCAACAATTCCTCTTACTTTTTCATATTTCTAACAGGTCCTTAAATTTTTTAAAATCGTCTAATATAAAATATACCCAGATGATGATGAAATACTTAAATCAAAACTAGAATAAACTAAAATCCAAAAATTTTACCTCACGATTTGTCATAAAATAAGTTTTTCCTTACTAAATACATTTGTCGATGGTTACAAAAATATCCAAAGTTTAGAATTCTAAATGTGTATTTAAATAAAAAACAAAGTTATAAAGCTTCTAGTTACAATAAAACCAATTGTATTATATATTTCAACTTTTAATTCTACGTGTAAATCAATTACAAACTTAGAGGTGTATGGGATTGGACAGTAGTTCGCGCGAAACTGACGTAAATCAACTTTATGTCATTGATATTGCATTCTCCTCTAAATAGAACCATCATTTCTTATTCTTAGGGTGCCTGTCCGTTCCGGAACGTTGGCAATCATTCTGGCAATGATGACTTTTTTGGTTGCTATACGAAATGGCTGTGTTGAAGCCAGGATATTCCCTTTTCCTTCAATTTTACCTTGCAAAATGCATTGAAGTAGCTCGTATCTGCCTAAATTTCTCATTATATGTCTCAAGTACTGCAGCTTAGGCCATTCACGATGTTGACCAAATCCGCGATTGAGTTCATCCTCTGCAGTACTTCTTCATTGGTGACTTTGTCTGTCCATGATATCTTCAGAATCATTCTGTATAACCATAGCTCAAAAGCCTGAAGTTTTGATAGAGTTTCCTCCTTCAAGGTCCACGTTTCTACTCCCTACAGAAACACTGAGTACACGTAACATTTAAGGAGCCTTATTTTTGTTTCAATGGTGAGGTAGCTCTTGAACACAGAGCTCATAGTCAAGAATGCACTTTTTGCTTTCCGATGCGACATTTAATCTCTTGGGTATTGCCCCACGACTCATTGATTATAGTTCCCAAGTAGTTCTATTGTGAAACACGTTCGATCACCAGATTCAAGACACCATCATTTATACACGAGTAAATACACTGTCCTTTTACAGGGAATATATTTTTTTCTTCAAAAAAGTTTACTCCAAAAAGATATGTTTGTTATTGTAAAAAACATCGAAGAAAATAAAAAGTTAAGGTTATTAAATAAAATGTCTTACCCAAAATAGACTGTAGCAATGAACTTTTCCCGCTACCAACAGGTCCAATAACACCAAGCAGAGTATTTTTTCCAAGCTTAAAATTTAGATTTTTTAAAGACAGGATCAAGTGAGTTTTCATTCCAGGACGCAACCATGTTCTTACATGACACCACCTCTTCGTTGACGTTCGAGCTTACAGATCTTCTTAGGGCAGGTAATTCTTTGTGTTCTTCATTTTCGAGAAATTCTTCGATTCTGCTAATGGAAACTAAAAGTTCGGCGATTTGTGTAAGACCATTGACGAATACTCCAGCTAGTGTATTAGCTAGGATTTGGTAATATGACATAAAAACGTACACCTGGAAATATAAATTAGGCTATTACTTTATATCAATGATATTATGTCGTGTATGAGCCAGTTCTGTGAATCTCTATCTCTGGTCATTTCTTAAGCCTCGGACACTCAGACCGCGTTTAATGAACAAAATATTTAAAATTATTATCTAAGAATTTAAAAAAATGTAATAATTTTAATAATAGATATAAACAAAAAATATTCAAAATTATACTTACTCTAGCTGCCGTGACCGCTTTGTTAGTGAATACCATGGTAGCCAAAGTTGCAAACAAAGCGAATCTATTGTTGAATAAGTTAAAGGCCATAAATACACCCCTTATGTACGCGGTTCTTCTAATAACATTAATTTCAGCTTTTCGAGCCAGGCTGATTAATTTTGTAAACGGTATTTCCCATGCGTACATCTTAATCACCTGAATACCTCCGATGACTTCGTTCATCAGTCTTATCCTTTCATCTGTTTTACCAGCGATCATTCTTCTATATTTTGCTGATAATTTTCCAATATACGCTAAAAGAAAAAAAATGTAAATATAAATAAATGTTTTATGACGATAGTGGATTTCGTTCATAACCACTTGTATATGTTTAACCCAAGGGAACCATGAAATAGTGAAAAGATTGCACATTAGGGGAAGCTTACGTACTGTTGTTGATGTGACAACTTGATTAGAAAATACTGCAGTAGCCAAAGATACGGTGAATACGTTATATCGGCAAATGAGATTGATATATACCTAAACTAGACGATAATTTTGATAAAAATGCTCAACCAAGATAGAAACACGCATGAATTACATATAGAATTGAAAAAGCCGATCTCACATAGGATTAAATGGAAATAAATGAATGACTGAATGGATGAATCCCACCTTTTACATTTGTCATTTATTTTTTATTATATCTATATACAGGGTGTTTTAAAAAATATAACACCGTCTCTAGGACGTTATTATATCTATACCTTATAGAACAGTGGTTCTCAACCTGGAAGGCGCGCCCCCTGTTGGGGGCGTGAGAGATTTTCAGGGGAGGCGTGAGGGTAAAAAGAAAAAAAATAAAAATTAAACAATATATATTTTGTTAAAAAACAAAATATTTTGTATTTCGTTTATTTTGTTTAGAAATATTTCTTTATTTAAACGTGATTAAAATCGTTTTACTCGAACATACAACCTGAGTTAAACACGACAGTCTTATGTATGGCAACATCATAGGAGCGTAAACTATATTTACCAAAACTGTCTTGCAAGCACTTCTGACTCCAGTTCAGTGACTCAGTCTTACGCATCAGTCTCAGTCGACATCGTCTGTGTGCTGTTTGTAGCAATCAGTGTCATCATCATCAACTAGCCTCTAACGTCCACTGCTGAACATAGGCCTCTCGCATGCTTTTCCACTTAGTCCGATTTTGCGCCATCTGAATCCAATTTGTAGTCACTCTTTTTATGTCATCTGTCCATCTCGTTGGGGGTCGACCTCTATTTCTGTAAGCTTGTATTCGGGGTCTCCATTCCAAAATTCTTTTTGTCCACCGGTCATCAACTGATCTTGCTACATGACCTGCCCAGTTCCACTTTAGTGTTGTTATCCTTTCAATAACGTCTGCTACTCCTGATCTTTTGCGTATAGTAGCATTGGGTATTCTATCACGTAGAGAAATCCCTAACATAATTCTCTCCATTGCTCTTTCCGCAACTTGTAGTTTACTCACTGTTGTTCTTGTGAGCGTTAGGGTTTCTGCGCCGTAGGTCATCACTGGCAAAATACATTGATTAAATACTTTTCTTTTCAGACACATTGGAATCTTAGACCTAAAAATATCCTTCATCCTTCCAAATGCAGCCCAAGCGAGGTTTATTCTTCTTTTCAGCTCGATTGTTTGGTTGTCTCGACTTATTCTGATCTCATGGCCTAAGTATTTATAGGAGTCAACTGGCTCAATATCTTTGTCTTCTACTGAGATGTTTTTGTTGTGGACTAAATTTGTCATAAATTGTGTTTTTGAAAAATTTATTTTAAGACCAACTCTTTTTGTGGCAGTATGGAGTTCTTGGAGCATTATCTGTGCCTGATCAAAGCTGTCTGCAATAAGAACGATATCATCTGCAAATTTAAGGTTATTTAAAAATTTTCCATCTACATTGATGCCCTTTTCGTTCCAATCTATTGTTTTACAAGCGTATTCTAGCAAAGTTGTAAATAATTTAGGAGACATGTTGTCTCCTTGCCGAACGCCTCTTTCAATACGAAAAGTCCCAGTATCTTCATTAAGTCTTACACAGGCTGTAGCATGTTGATAGATGTATCTGATGAGAGATATGTATCGGTGATCTATTCTACATTGTGTTAGAGCTTGGAGCATTTCACTTTGATTGACCGTATCAAATGCTTTTTCAAAGTCGACAAAGACAAGTATCAGGGGTATATTATATTCAATGGTTTTTTCAATCAACGACTTAATGGTTTGCAAATGATCATTTGTTCCGTATCCAGCTCTAAATCCTGCTTGCTCGCAAGGTTGATAGAAGTCTAGTTTTGATGTCAACCTATTAGTTATTATCTTCATAAACAACTTATAAACGTGAGATAACAAGCTAATAGGTCTATAGTTCTTTAGCTCTGTTATATCTCCCTTTTTGTGCATGAATACTATAACAGCTTTATTCCACTGAGATGGTGTAACCTCGTTTGAAAGGCATAAGTTATATAATTGCGTCAATGCTTTCAATACTGTCTTTCCTCCTGCTTTAACTGCCTCAATAACGATTTGATCATCACCAGCTGCTTTATTGTTTTTCATTCTATTTAATGACTTTAAGACTTCTTCGATTGTTATTTCTGGGATATCCTCTGAACCCACATTCTGGACTTTTCTCAACTTGGTGCCGTCTTTCTTCCCCTTTCTCTATATAATTCTGTGTAAAATTCTTCAACTACCTTAATTATCTTATCTTTATCTGTTACCACTTTTCCATTTCGATCTGCGAGCTTAACAATGTTCTTCTTACCTAGAGCTTGACATCTCTTCAGCACCTTTAAACTTTTATTTTTCTCGACAACCGTTGTAATCTTTTTTGTGTTATATTGTCGTACGTCGTTTCTCACTGCTTTATTAATATCTTTATTAAGTTGTTGTAGTACGCGTGCATTCGTATCGTTTTTGTTCTTAAGTTCTCTTCGTGCCTCCATAAGTGTTTTTGTTTCTTGACTGAGCTTTTCCTCCTTATCTCTACTAGAATTTGTATTGCACTTTTTCTCTGCGTTCTTAATAGCTTTTAATAAGTTATCATTTAAGGTTTCGATATCCATAACGTCTATATTTGTTGTCTCTAGACATCTCAGAATTTCCTCTTCGAAGGACATGGTGTTTTCGATTGGATTACATTCTATTGGGTATGTTTTTGTTATCATTTTGTATCTTTGTTTTTGGAGATTTAGCACGATCTTCGCTCTTACCATTCTATGATCACTTCCCACTGAACAGCTATTAAGAACTGTTACATCATGGATCATGTCTTTGTTGTTGGTTAAGACAAAATCAATTTCATTTTTGGTGACTCCATCTGGACTTGCCCAGGTCCATTTTCTTTGGGTACTTTTTTTGAAAAAGCTATTCATTGCAAAGAGGCCATTTCGTACCAAGAAACCCAAAAACATTTCGCCTCTTTCATTTCTTTGTCCGAATCCATAGGGACCTATTGCTACTTCGGTCCCGTCTAGTTTACATCCCAACTTAGCAATAAAGTCACCCATTACTAGGTTGTGTGTAGTAGGCGCTAGTTTTACAGCATTTTCTAGGTCTTCATAAAAGGTTTCCACTTCCTCGTCCGAGTGTGTAGATGTAGGTGCATAGGCTTGAATTATTGATCTTGAAGATTTTTTAGTAATCAATAAACTTCCATGGGAGAAAGTAATTGGCATATGTACTGATGGGGCACAAGCCATGACAGGATGTCGATCTGGATTTATGGAATTGGCAAAAAAAATAACCCTAGGATAATTGGTTCTCACTGCATTATTCACAGAGAAGCTTTAGCTAGTCAGACTTTACCTGAACCTCTCAACATCACAAAAACTTAGCAATTAAAATAGTTAACCACATCAAATCCAGCGCATTAAACACTAGACTCTTTCAGGCACTATGTCAAGAACAGAATAGTGATCAGGAAACCCTCCTATTTCACACAGAAGTCCGGTGGTTATCCAAAGGAAATATGCTTGCAAGATTATTCAATTTAAAATCAGAAGTTGAAATTTTGTTAATGACTTTAAAACAAGAAGATCCTCACAGAAGATTTACAAGTGATAAAAATGTCTTTTACTTGGCTTATTTGTATGACATTTTTAAGACACTTATGCCTGGTTGCACCAACATATCTTAAGCTTAAGACGTGCCTTAGGTAGGCCTCAGCTCAGACTGATCGACCGACCACGACCAAACTGTCCGACGGCGATCAACCAAATTTTGTATTTTAATTTTTAAGAATATAAAGAATATTTTATAATCGAAAATTATAGTGCAACGTAAGTGAGAGTTAAGGCAGCCCTAGCTATAAGCAGAGCTTGGCTAAGCTGGAGCTTAAGTTCTATTGGTGCAACCAGGCATTAATGTCCTGAATCTGAAGCTTCAAGGCCGTAAAAACCTCTTAAACACTTATGATGTAATAAGGGGTTTATAGAAAAAATATCGCTTTGGCAACGCCGCCCTCACAGTTCCAAGCCAAACTTTTCCTCTTTTCCTAAACTGAACGACCTCCTCGACGATATCGATGAAGTTAACAAGAGATCCTTTTCATATCGAAGTTGGCATTCTTCCAGTTAACCTTCAAGAGTAGGCAATTGACCTAAAATATGATTCACAAGCAAAAGCAGATGTTGCAAACATGGACTTGTAAGAATTTTGGTCAACCTGCTTTCCTGTTTACCCAGAAGTGGCTTTAGTATCTGCGAAGTTATTAGTCCAGTTTGCATCCACATATCTTTGCTAATCTGGTTTTTCTGCATTGGCCTATATAAAATCAAAATACCGTTCAAGGCTGGACGTTGAAAGTGGCTTGAGGTGTGCTCTGACACAGTTTCAACCGAATATCGAAAAACTTGTCAAGAACAGACAATGCCAACCCTCTCATTGAAAGTGCAAAAACACTCATATAAGACTTTCAACTTTATATGCGTATTTGATTTTTTGATTATTCTTTTTCTCAAATAAATAAACAATGTTAAGTTTAATGAGACATTAAATAAACTTTCATATTTAAATATATCTGGATTTTTATTTTGCATCCCAGCTTTTGCTAACGTAGAGTTAGCATCGTCAGTTTCACAATTTTAATGTTCAAACTTGAAACCAACCAATTATTGACTGGAGGGGAGGCGTGAACTATCTTCAGTGTTCAAAGGGGACGCCCAGTGCTAAAATGTTGAGAACCGCTGTTATAGAACAACAATTATTATAGAACATTTATTCGCGAAGAAAATATTTAAGATACCTACCTTGCATGGGCATAATTGTCACAATAGTAACAACACCAGTTGCTCCGGACCATCCAATATCTTGAAAAATGATATACATAATGATTATAGCCGAAACTGGTCCAACCCACATTTGGTGCAGCAACATCGAGGCTGAATCGAATCTGCTGACATCGTTCGAAAGAAGATTGACAATCTTTCCTACTGAACTTTTTCCAAGAGCAGTAGTGCTTAATTTGATGGCCTGAAAATTTAAAAAATATGTCAAAATCCATTATAAGTAGAATATAGTTAACATTTAATATTACGATTCTAAGAAACTAGGGAGTGCAACTAATTTGAAACTTGTTAAAAGCAGTCAAAGGAAGAGCAAGGTTCAGATACATCAAGATATGATGTATTAATGGCTTTTGGTAGGTTTTTGAGTAATAATGATTACTTACCTTTCTATAAATAAGAGCACACACTGAAGTCCTTACTCGCATACCAGCATGCATAGAATTCATCATATACTGATTCTTAATAAACGACGTTAGAGTATTAAAAGTAACTATCATCCCAGCGTATCCTAGAGCTTGTTCTTTAGTGGTTGTAGAATCTGGGTTGTAATAGGTGAGCAACAATCCCAAAACGTAAGGCTGGCTTACTCGAATAACTACATCTCCTATCAATGTGAGGAATCCTAGTCGTAAATATTCGAACCAATATGTAATTGCTACTGCTCGGAGGAGGCTGGGTTTGCCTTTTTGTTTAAGTTTTTGTTTTTCCCAGTTTCTGAAAATAAGGGATGGTTATTTTTAATAACGAAAAAGCTATTTTTAATTATTTTATTTATGTGGAAATACAGGTGGTTAAGTACTCACTCAAATTGAACGTTAGCTAACCTAGCCTATAAAGAGGTACATATTTGAAAAAGAAAACATTTTTACCTTTCTAATTTATCTCCCAAAAGAGTACTTCTGTCATTTTTCAACGGGTTATACAAATCTTCCACGTCAAAGTCTTTCTTCATGCCCTTCTTGAATATGGGATATGTGAACCTGTAAAATCAAAAATACGACGACTTCTTTAAAATCATAGCTTGTTTTTAGTTCTTATTTTATTGTATTACTACTACATTAGACAATAGTTATACATCGTCTTTGGAACTGCATCTAAAAAGAATTTACAGACTATAGGAATATGTTTCATTTGATAATAGGTATGTAGTGTACATAAAATAAAAAAAAGTGTATTGTTTTTTTAGTATAAATAAAATAACTCCAGAATTCGTTGTATATACATAAAATAATTTAAAGGATGGTCGAAAGTGCCGAAAAAGAACATCCTTTGTCCAAAATCTCTTAGAGTGGCATTAAATACCTCATTAAAAACCTCCACTAATATATTTCAAGTTACCCTGAACAAAGTTAATATTGTCAATATGACCGTCAATTTTTAATAATGAGACAGGGAACTGAAACAGGATGAAAGCCCAACAGCGCCAACAAAGCTTAACAATATAAGGGGAACAAATTAAAATAGTTTAAAAATATAAATATCTGGAAGTAATAGTTAATGAAAATAATGTACACAGAAGAAATTAAAGCAAGGATAGGACATAGGCAAGAGATTCTTGCAACAAACTGACTGTACAACCTTAAAAGATAGAACTTCTGAGATGCTACAGATATGTTTTTTCGTAATATTTTAAGAGTTTGAAGCTTGGACATTAAAGACAGACGTTTCAGACAGATTGGAAGCCTTCGAATCATGGACCAATAGAAAAATCTTTCTAGATAAATCTTTCTCCATAACAAATATTCATTATAAAATATTTTTAAACATTATCTGTAGCTGCTAAAATTAATATTAAATAGTTTAGTGCTTGAACTTATGTCTGTCGCTGCGTGATGTAAGCATACGGACAGAAAAAGAACTTAATAACAAAAGAAAAACCACCATGACATGACCACTTAAAGATTGAGTCAAGAGGGAGTCAATCGTTATCATAGAGGGAAATAAAAACTTCCTTTTAAAGCAACAAATGAAGCAGAAAGAGGTGTGTAGCAAAAAGTAAATGTTCAGTATAAAATTTTGAAAAACTTCCACTCAGTGTGATTCATATTTTAAATATATTATAAACAATGTATATTCTACGTTCTTAGTTAGTTTAAAGTTTTCTTCCAAAATTAAAAATATCCAAAATAACAATACAAATATGCTATTTTATTTACACTCTTAAATATTATTCCACCCAGTATATTTTTAAATAGTCAAAATGTAATTATTATAAAGATATTGTTTCATAATTTTATATTTGAATCATACTAATTATTACAACCATGATATAATCAGGTTTAGAAATATATTTTTACCTTTCACTGTAAATAATTTTTTTGTATAATCCAACATGGATTTTTAAAAACAATTCATCCTAGATTAACTGTTTCGTTAATATTTAAAGAATATTGCTTCTTTTTCAGGAGCTAAGTTTAGTCCTACCCTGTTCTGATTTTACGCAACCATGAAAATCTACTTCTACCTATATCATGCTATCGTCTTGCCCGGATCTAATGTATGGGAATCATATGTTTGTGGAGTCACCTTTAAGTCTTCAAAAAGTGAGTGCCACGTTTTCATGTTCTATACCACAGAATATGCAGTTTAAATCTCCATAAAACAACCTCATTGTATGCATGAGTTCTTTGACATATGAATAAGAAAGTATGGTTTGAGCTAATTTTGGTCTCTATTCCATAGTACTTCAGCCCTGTTAGCACATGTCCGTCCAAATATTAGCCTTGTGCTTGACCCTGTATATTTTTCCAGTAGTCACGTTCTGTCCGTGTCCGCATCAAGACCCTCATCAGATTTCGGACACTGCTTTTGTGGCACTCCGCATGCCGGCTCTTGACCAAAGTATTTTGTAGGTGACCCTTCTTAAGCAATTTGCGTAACATTTTGTTAGCTTAAAGCTGGATTTATAGTTTGATGGACTGTAAACGTAGACGCACTGGAAAAAGATCAAGATATAATTTTGTGTACTCTTATTTATAAATGAACGTAAACGCATGACGGAGCGTCAGTGAAAGGGAACTGTCCGGCCCGCCCTTCATTTTGTAAAGTTTTTTATCAATAGATTCGAATTTTGTTGATTATTTCTTACAATGGACGATACGTTATTAATTTATAAAATAATAAAAATTAATAGTCGAAGGATATCATAGTATAATTTCAATCATTCAGATAAATATGAGTTGTTAATTAACCTAATCGAATTACATGCTATGATTTTTTCTGTAGGATATTCTCGAGTTAAAGTTGATTTCATATAATTGAATAAACTATCTTATAAATAAAGTCGTCCCAGGAGCGCAACTCAACAATATTGGCAATATCATTTTAAAGTCATTGACTTAAAATGTATAATGTATGTCTGAATTGTCAATATAAATGAGTCAGATAAAATTAAATTATTAGAATGAATATGAAAAAACAATTTTTCACTAAGTAACAAAAAAACAAAATTTGTTGAATTTACTAATGTTTGTATTTTGAGAACGATTTCCGAAGTGGAAATTGAAACGTCAATAAACGTACTTTAACCTTAAAAACAAGATAGTTTTAGGTCCGCTTGCCATTATGCTAAATTCAGTACTGAATTTAGCACTAAAAATATTGTATCTACAAATTAGGTGCGCGCGCCGATTCAGTACTAAAAATTAGAACATGTTCTAATTTCTTGTACTAAAAATGATCCAATATTAACTAAAACTGAGGTTATGTTACGTATGTTTATGTTTTGCTTTTAAATATGTGGAGTCAAAAGCAAATAGAAAATTTAATCGAACTATATACAGCAAATCCTTGTTTATATGTGCCAAAACATCCATTATACAAAAACAGGAACGGGACAGTAAAAGCTTTGGAAGAAATAAAGGCGGAATTGTACAAAATCCTGTTTGTTTTGTTTACTCTAATCATAAAACTATAAAACAAACTTCAGTACTTCAGATAGGTTAGACTATCAATACAAAATTGGTAGAGCGCATGCCTACAGGCTAATTAAAATCAAGATAGTTGCAAACACCAACATACACTTTTCATACTAAATCGACTCGCGCAACTAACTAATATTTTTAGCACTGAAATCAGTACTGAAATTAGCATAATGGCAAGCGGACCTAAGTCGAAATGGTAACAATAATACTTGTTGAGTTTAAGGGCACTGCAATGTTATAAAAGGTATTTTATTTACCAACATATTTAAGTTATAGTAAGTCAGTTTTTTATACATTTACGAAAAAAAAATGCATAATAATAAAATAATAAAACTAAAAGTTATTGACCCAGTTCTAGGTAGACAAACAACTCGTTTGTTTCTAATAAATTGGCGAAGCGGTTTGAGAAGGAGAATTAGAAGCGGAAGGAGAATTGGCGGTAACATAATATCAAAGCGTGTTTAGATACCAAAAGAAACAATCTGTTTTCTCAGGCGTCTCAACGGAAAACGGGCGAGACAAACAACTCGTTTTATTTTAGCTGAGATACATCGAAAATAAATAGAATATATTTTCGTGTTTAATTAATAATTGTATAATATACACATATAATAATAAATATAATAATAAACAAAAATTATGAGGATTATTGGTGATATGTTAAGACTTTTACACTCTTCCTTTTAAAGTGCCTTATCCGTTTCAGAGTTGGCCACCATCAAGTCAATGCAAACTTTATTTATAGCGCTAGAGAATAGCTCGGTTGATGTTTCTGCAGACCACTTGCGCAGTTTTGAAAGTCAGGAAATTCTTTACTAGATCTCTCTTGCCCCCATTTTTTTCCTGAAGTATAACTTAAGATATCCCATATTTTTCTTTCTTTCGCATAATGTGTTCAATACTTTAGTTTTCAACATTTTACTGCTAAGCTGTTAGCAGATCAGGTTGAGAATTCATTCTTCTCAGAGAGTTATTATCTATAGTAGCTTCTATTGCTTGTTTGTTGCTAGAAGGTAGTGTTCTTACGTTTACTGAAAAGAATTAAAGTAGGTATGTATTTTCAATTGAAGTTGTGAAACTCGTTTTGTGAGACCATACTTCGATTCACTATAGAAAATTATGTAACATATTGGCAGCCAATGTGATGTTTTTACTCCTAATATACATGACTGAATCATTAGCATATAAGTTATAATTAATAAGTGAATTTGGTTTATTTATTTAATTATTAAATGCTAGAATAAAATGATATGTTTATTTTGAAAATGATAATTTAACAATCAGTTCAGATTTAAAAGTTAGAAGGTAATAAAAAGTGTATTTTACAATGTATGTGATATTCTCATAGCATATATCTAAAAAGAAAGTTTAGAACCTCTCTTTGAGGACTGTACATTCTTAAACTTTCAAACAGCTTTGACTATTTAAATTTTTTTGGGGGAAATAATGCTTTTTCACAAAAATTACCTATATATTAATAACATATCCATGCAGGCAGCTACAAATTTCCACAATTAATATTGGTCTCGATTTGTTGCACTTAATCGTTCTCTCTACGAGCTATAACACTTAAATCTAAAGGCTAACTTAGTCAAACCTAAAAGAATATATGGAAAAAGTATTTAAAAATCAACTCAGCTATCACCAATTCCTCTTGCAAGTTCTGTAATTATTAAATGTTTATTTTACGAGTATTATCAATCAAACCAAAAACTGAAAATTTTTTATCCGTAGAAATAATCATTAACGAACTGGACCGATCACAGTTGACTGCTTGATTATTTAATAACTTTGGGTATAAATTAAAGCAAAAATTAAACTGGAAACTTTTTGGTATTATTGGTCGTGGACACTATGCAAACCCAAATTTACTTGCAAAGTAAAGAAGAACCCTTTCAATTTAACAAAAGCGTGGAACAGCGACAGCAGGATATTTCAAAATAAGGAAAAATCTTGACCAAAACCACAACACAAATGGCGAAGAACAGAAAATAATGAAAACAATTCATCAAAAATTAGACGCACCTACCTCATCGATTATAGTTTTTACATTTCTAAAATTTATGATTCTAGCTGCATCTTTTGTCTGTTCCTCAAACCTTACTTAACATTACAAAAACCAAAATATATAAAAGTATAACACTTTAGCTCTAGGGATTATCCCAGCAGTCGAACCTTACTTATTACATATGTATTTGCATTCATATTTGCGTTAATGATTTTATCAATTTCGTTCAATACATTTCAAGATCAATTCATGACGTTCACAGCACAATCCCATAATTACGTCTTATCTCATATTGTTGATATAGGTAATGGATTTGGACAAGAGCTATGACCTTGTAAATAACAGTTAAACTTGTGTACTACATCCGCATGACTCATAGCTTATGTCAAAACCCATTACCTCTACAATTTCTGATTCAAAACGGGGCAGTTTATAGTAACTTGATAAATTTAAAATAAGTATAAATAATTACTGCTTAACAATATAAAAAATAGTAATTTAATTTTTAGATTTTCTAATAAAATCAGATGATTTTAAGATTTTGCAAAACTTGTTTTTGTCAATAATATCAGTTCAGAGTTTTTTGCATTGAAGTAATAGTTAATAACAGTTGCTTAACCATTTTGACACACTGTGTAAACTGTGTTATCTAGGTCTAAGTTCGTTAATGAATTATTTCTACGGATTGTAGCAAAAGGTGGTGGATAGTGTATATGTTGCAACATTGACCACACTCATCTTGCAATTAATAAATTCTTCCGATATTATGACCAACAAGAACTTGCTGGAGGTATTTACCAATAACTGTAAAATATATGCCGTAGTGAATGACGTAGTAGTTGCAACAATTATTGTCTATAGTAGACATTAGCACTCATGTCAATATTTTCTCCAATTGTATTCTAGCATCGAGTAAACATTGTCTGTGTATTTAATATAGTTCATCTACAACCTTCACTTTTTATCCATTTGTTATTTTAACATCCATTATTGGAATGACACCTGAATAAAAATGATAAAATTGATTAGAAGATATCAGAATCATACTCACCCAAAAAATAGTATCGAGAATATATTGGAACTGTCCCTTGGATTGGGATTGTAGGTTTCCTTTGTGGAATCCATTGTCTTTGTTCATTAAAAATTTGGAACCTCCGGATTTATCGGTATTGACCTGAAAGCAGATAAATGAATCAAATTTGTATACTATTATTATATATTGTGGAAATCACTTCGAAATCAAATTGTTTCGAGCTTTTTAAACATTAACTCAAATGTACAGAGCAATTCACGCAAGTCGAGCCCTGTCCATAATCTTTACTTTTAATGAAACACACTGCTTATTTTTATATTTCTAAAAGCTGCTTAATCCTTTGTTTCCTAGTGGTTTCATTGTGAAACCGCATACAAATAAATTTTTAGCTACGTTCTCAGTGGGATTGGACTGAAACCACTCACGAAATATGACGTATAATACTCCTCCTACTGAAACCACTCACTAAATATGACGTATAATACTCATCCTACTTTAAAATGTATCGCGTACCGCCATTTATGTTCTCGTTATTTAGTTAGTTGGTAATAACACGTGTTTTACTGTCTAACAGACGATATAAAGATAAAAAGAGGTGTAAAACAGGGATGTATATTGTCCCCGTTATTGTTCAATACATATTCAGAACAAATTATGAACCTAGCGCTAACGGACACAGATGAGGGAATACTTATAAACGGAGAACCATTGAACAACATAAGATAAAATTCCACGAGGAAACTAAGTTCCTGTAGCTGGCTGTATACCATATATCACAAAAAAATTTTGTTTAAAATCCTTTATAAAAGGTATATAAAAATGCCCCAAACGGGCTATCACAAACACATTGCAAAACGTTTTCGGATTAAACAATCCATCATCAGTGCAAACGGTTGTACATGCTAGTAGCCACCAAAACATATGGGTAAAAACCCTTAAAATGTTTTAAATTTGTAGTTGTTTTACATTATTAGTATTTATAATTTGCGATGTTTAAGTTACCGTTGGATAGGTAACATATCGGCGTATGACTTTACATGAGTAAAATGGTCCTGAGACGAAGTGTCTACGAGGACCTGTTGATAACAAAATAACATAAGATACGCTGATGATACTGTCATTTTTGCAGACAGTCTTGAAGGTCTGCAGACACTTGTGTCCAGGGTGGCAAAGGTAAGTAGCAGGTTTGGGGTTAATTTTAACATTAAAAAAACCAAATACATGGTTATAAGCAAAAATAATATACCACCTGGTCAATTACTTAACTTGTTAACTTGTAAACTTGTTAACCAACAACCCATAACACAAATTACCAACTAATTGCGTATAAAAGGTACAACACTTTTTTTTATTTTGCTGAAGTATAATCGACAATGAGTTACGGTATAACTATGGGGTGGCTCTCCTATTAAGAGATTTAAATATATTAACAGTGTATGGAATTTACATTTTGGAATTATTAATACTATGATAAAAATAAAAGAACTTTTTATGTAGCGGTGATATTCACTCACACAACACAAGAAATAAGAGACAGTTTGTAGTACCCTATCGACATTTAGAAATAAGTAGGAAGTCATCTAATGTCTGTAGTTTACTAAAGTATAATCAACATCCTTAAAAATTTAAAAACATTAATTCAACTACAGCTTTTAAAAACCAAGTTAAAGAGTACCTAACGACCAAGTGTCATTATACATTAGGTGAATTACGAGAGTATATATCTGAATGCATAAGCTGCAACATAACCAAATTTAATATTATTTTAATCATTTACGATGTCTAATTGTAAGTTTTATATGTATTTTTATGTTTTAAATATTTTAATGTATTGTTCCATTTTTTTGTAATGTTTTATATTTATAATTTTGTACTTTTGACTTGCTATAAACCTTGTTGTAACTTATAGTCAAATAAACTATCTATCTATTTATTTATCCCAATAATCTATTCCAAAATTTAATATAACACAACCAAATGGACCAACGCTCAAACGAAAGACCCAAATAGAATCTGAAGAAGCAGAAGCATGATAAAGGTATTTACTGTTTAGGAACTCTGAAAAACACCACTAACAAGGATTCGTACAAAATAAAGAGACATAAAATACAGAAGCATATAATTATTAGAAGACAAACACATTTGCAAACAGATACTCACTTGTTACTTTCAAACACTTAACAAATACTTAGCACTGAATCTTCCTAATTGATGAACACATAAAATTAAAGCTCATTAAAGTAGTGTTTATACAAATTATCATTATAGAGATTGTTCACATACATGCGTTTATTTTTGGATTAAATTGGAATTCATTAAATGTAGTCTGCATATGTGTTTAATCGATCCACCACAGCCTCATTAATTTGCTTGAGAACAAACATTGGATCAATTTATTCACTTAAATTTTATTCAGAAAAAGACGTCTGTAATATGGTAATAAATTTTTTATATTGTTTACTGCTGTTTAAATTTGCTAAAGAATCTATTGTGTAATGTTTCATTTGTTGCGACTTTTACAATATTTCGCAACAATTAATGTAATAATGCAACAATGAAAATATAATATGTAATGTCACTCAACATTTTCTTCTTAAGGTGCCCTTCATTACTAAAGATTCTGAAGATATATATCTATAATCTGAAAGAAACAAAATATATGTGGGAATTGTGAAGAAAATTCAGTGAAAATTTTTAACCCCTACTTCTCTCTCTCTCTCTCTCTCCTCTCTCTCTCCTCTCTCTCTCTCTCTCTCTCTCCTCTCTCTCCTCTCTCTCTCTCCTCTCTCTCTCTCCTCTCTCTCCTCTCTCTCTCTCTCTCTCTCTCTCTCTCTCCTCTCTCCTCTCTCTCTCTCCTCTCTCTCTCTCTCTCTCTCTCTCTCTCTCTCTCCTTCTCTCTCTCTCTCTCTCTCTCATCTCCTCTCTCTCTCTCTCTCTCTCTCTCTTTCTCTCTCCCCAGGGGAGTGTAGTGGTCGACGTGATGTCGTGTATTGTCCGTCTCCAGAGATCTCTGTCTCTGGTCATTTCTTTTAATTCATGCATAGGTCTTTGGCATATTCCTGTAATTTGATCTATCCATCTTGTTGGGGATCTTCCTCGTGATCTTCGGCCTTCTACCTTTCCTTGTATTATGAGTCTTTCCATGTTTTCTGTGTTTGCTCTCATAACATGTCCAAAATATTTTAATTGTTGGAGGTGGACTTTACTAGAGAGTCGTTGGCTAACTTCGTCATCGAGCGTCTATCTTTTTTCTCTCCGATTGTCTCAGAGTCCAAGATTCACATCCGTAGGTCAGTATTGGGAATATTAAGCAGTTGATCAACCTCATCTTTATCGCTCTTGAAATTTGACAGTCCTTCCATATTTTGGTCATTTTTGCTGTGGCAACTTTTGCTAGATCACATCTACGTTTAATCTCTTCTTGTAATGACCCTGTGTTTGTGATTAATGATCCCAGATATAAGTATGAGCTCACAACCTCGAACCGGTCGATTGTGGTTATGTGTGGATGATTGTTGTGTAGTCTATCCACTATCATGATCTTTGTCTTTGATATGTTTAATTGCAGATCAAATATTTGACTTTCGTTTTCTATCAGTCGTATAAGTTCCATCAGCTCTGCTTGACTATTTGCAAGTAGGGCTGTGACATCTGCGAAACGTAGGTTGTTTAGTTTATGACCATTTATTGAGATGCCCTTTTCCCATCCTTCAAGTGCTCTTCGCATAATATACTCCCCATATATGTTGAATAATTGTGGAGATAGTATACATCCTTGTCTGACACTTGTGTGTTCATATAGTTCAATTACAAGCATAATTAGATGTTGTGGTATGCCTACTTCATTTAGTATTCGCCATAAGTGTCTCCACTTGACCCTGTCGAACGCTTTACGGTAATCCCCTACTTAAAAGATATGAGAAGCTATATGAGGATGTCCCTATTGGGAAGCAACAATACAGGCTGGGACGGATGTTTACATATGATATCCGCCAAGAGAACGGATAGGTGGTGCAAGCTGGTGACCAGTTCAGACATGAAACGAAACAGAAGACGCGCTGGAAGGTGTTTTGGAATCTTAATAAAGATCTGACGAAAAACACACCCAATCAGATAAAACAAAATCTCCTGACCAACGGTAGGACAAGATCAATGATGAACTAGTTGAGAGTCCAACGAAATATCGACCAAGAGAAGGATATTCTGGGTACCTACCTCCTTTTTGTCTGGAGAGGATAGGAGGAATAATCCACCAAATAAAAAATAATAAAGTCGCGAATGACGTAACATTTGATTATTGACAAATTGACAAATTAATCGCATTGCTCTATTAGTGATCCTTTCATAAGTTAACATGCTCCTTTTCTAACTTGCTTTCCTTCTTATACACATATTTTATTATACTTTTTTTTCTTTGCTGCGAGCTATGCCGATATCTACAAACTCATATTTATGATAAAATTTGTGGAAGGAGGATTTGGTTGCAGACCAGTGTAGTAGGTAATAATCTAATGCTATACAGAAAATATTCTCATAGAACCTCAAAAAACATCATCCTCGACAATTGATTATGTGGTTTCCGATTTTCCACCCGCTGACGTCCATTCTACAGTTATTAGTGGGGGGCTTTCTGATCATGAAGCGGTATATACCAAGTTTAGCAGTTTACAAACACCTCACTCAAAAACCCGACGATTAGGTAGGATTTTTTCCACTCAAAACTTTCGTAAATTCTATAATTCATGCTTGACTTCTGACTGGAGTTTTTCTTCTGGGGATATTGACTGTAATGTTAATGATTTTCTAAATAGACTTGTATCTATTTTTAATAAAGCATTTCCTCTATTAAACATCAGGCCAAAACATAACAAACCTTGGATTACCAAAGGCATTCCCATATCTGCGAAAAATATGCGTTCTCTGCTATATATTAAAAAATTTAATGACAGTACCCCCATCTCTGATTATATCAACAAGTACGGAAAATGCTATATAAAACTACTCAAAGTAGCCAAAAAATCCTACTTTCATAATCGCTTAACAAGCTCCAAAAATATTTCAAAAGAAACTTGGTCAATAATAAACGATTTTCGAAATAAAATCAGTACAGCGAATCAAACCTTTTCTTTTCCTAACCCCGA